AAAAACCTGCAATTCAATAATTTCTTTAAACTTAAGAGTAGATGTACTACAAGACCTGAGATGCATCTCTGGTCCAAAATGAAGATTTTTTCGATACTTTCCTCCCGATTTCTGGATGGAATCGGACCTTCTCCAGCCTGAAAATTTGTTACTGAGTTTCGCTGACTTCACTTAGGTTTTGCTCAGTGGAGAAATAATTTTTGGAAGCCCATGGAAGGGTTTGAGTATGTCTTTGATGAGTGTATTTGTGTGTGCTAAGAGTAGGCTTTCTGAAAACAGCTGCTGACTTTTCAAAGGTCAGGGTTAATGATGCTTAGCTTTTATATAATAGTGTACTTATTACATACATAGTGGAAGTTTCAAACCTTCTCTGTTGGAGAGCCCTTCAAACACAAGGCTGAAGCGTCACGTTCCCTCTGTCTGGCCTAATGTATCTTGCAGTCTCTCCATGCGTGACTTCAGCAGAGGATGAAGGATGTCCTGAGAGGTGGGAGGCGTGGATTAAACAAAGGTGTTGCTTTTCTGAATGAGTGCTCTACATAACATGTCTTTCTAGAGCATTTGAGACTTTGAGAAGCAGCACCTCTGAATCATAAGTGGATTGAATTTCCTTTCTCTTGCCCTTCCCAAAGCACTGAAGGATAAAGCAGAGATGTCATTTAACATCTCTGTTGACAGCATTTGCTATTGGCTATCTAACGTGGCTTTTCAGTCAACTTGTTGACCATTTTTATTCTGTTTTGAGATTCTTCACTAGCATGTGAAGGTCAAGCATATTCAGAGTGGAAGCCCAACATGGAGTTCTGCGTTAGGTGGTGAAGCACTCAACCTGAAGTGCCTAAGTTTATTGAATTTCATTCTTAGTACATCTGCTGCTAGAGTACATCTGCTGCTAGGTGGCCATATTGCTAGGAATAGACCAAAACGTAACCTGAACAACAGAGGAGTTAGACTTCATAGTTTGTAAAGTTTGAAAAAACTGGAGGACACTCTGTGGTATGTATGGAGAGGGAAGAGGTGGTTTGAAAGTCATGGCTGGGTTGAATCTCATTTGCCATAGTGTCAAAATACCTTATGACTGATGAAGCCTTTCTGTGAACACACATCAGAAAAAGCAGAAATCTTTGATTCATAAAACTTGATATATCCTGTAGAGTTAAAAATTTCTTCCAGCTAATCTGTTGACAAATACTTAGAGTCTGGAAACCCATCTTATTTCCTTTCCCTTGCTTCTGTCTGCACTAAAGTGAAGCAAACATCTGCCTCGGTAGGAAGGATGCTGTGATAATTGGCATGTTGTCTTCAGATTGCTGTCTAGATGGTGGGTTTAGGCTATGTAACTCTTTAAAAATGCTGTTTTATACTGAATATGCTGTTTTGAATTACTGTCAACTACCCAACCACCAGGAATGAAATCTCTTCCGTTACGGGTTTTTCTTCTTCAGGACAAGTACAAGCGTGCCTTGGCAGATGCAGAAAACGTGAGGCAAAGAAGCCAGAAACTGGTAGAAGAGGCAAAGTTATACGGTCAGTGGAGGTTCCTTTTGTGCATACTCGTAAGACCCATGAAATGCAAAGTCTGGAAAATTGAGCTGACTGGTCTGCAGTTTTGACAAGCTGTACTTCCCAGTGATTCTGACTACTTGGTTAAAAAAATGTATTTGAGGCAGAGAGGTTTGAATGGTTCCTCATTTTGCATCAGAATTGTAATCATCTCGCTAGAGAAGGGCAAGACTTAAACTGCTAACGTCAACAACTTGAAATGTTCTTTAAATTTAGTATCTGATTTCCTACAATATGTACCGCACTAGTAGATTTTTCAGTAAGGTTTGCAGCCTGAAGTTTACCTTTTTCACGCACTTTGGTCTCAGAACTGACTGCAAAAAACGGAACCAAGAGCATGGAATACTAGCTTTCCTTCTGGTTTGGGTTATTTTGTTCTTGCTGTTTGGTTTGGGTTTGGTTCTTTTTTGGGGTTTTGTTTGGGGTTTTTTTAGCCTTTTATATTGGATTAACTTTCCTGTTCTGTTGAAGGTCATAGCTTTCAAATAGAAGTAATACATTTAGATGGGTGGATTCTTTTCAGTGGTAGGAATGTACAATCACTGGCTACGAGGAGTGCCAGAAACACATCTTTCTTCAAGAGCCAGGCTCCTGACACCTGATTTAGCTTTTTGACAGTTCAAACACAAATCTGTAAAACAGAAATTGTATGCAAATACTGCAGCAGAAGAGTGCTGTATCATCGTAGTGTTTGACTGTCACTCTGGCTTGAAAAATGAGTTGGCCTTTTTTGCCACACACTATACACAGCTGTATAGTTTAATTCTGAATACAGAAGTTTTAGTTTCTGAATACAGGGTCTTCAGTTAACGTGTACTGTAAGAAAAAGCATTTCTCAGTTACGTAGTATTCTTGTACCGTTTTCATGGATGTTTGAATGCTTCATCCTGAAGCTGATTTTCAATAAGCATTGTTTCACTAATACGCTACTTAGTGCAGGAGGACTTTGAATCATGCCTGAGCTACAATGAAATGCTATGATGCTACAATAGAAATAAATATTCAAATCAAATTTCTCGTGAAAACTAAATTACAGATAATCTGCATGGTTGTAAGTTTTATCATTCGTGTATGACTGCTTTTTCTGTTGAAGGAAGAGAAACTCGTTTCTGAGACTTGCATAAATTCACAGACATGCAGTCACAGGTATCTGCAGAGATGATTTACGCAAAAAAAAGCCCGAACCAGAACAAACCACCTTCTGAAGAGTTTGGTTATTTGGTTTGATCCAGATCACTAGACAACTGGTTAATCTATGTTTGGGACACTTCAGCCCTAACTGCAGTTTTAGTTTTAATTTAAAACCTTGATTCATTTGTTCATATTTTTGGAACTACTTGGACACTGTTAGTTACTGTTCTATAAAGAGCTCGAGTCTCTATGGAGTTGTGTAGTTGTTAAAGTGACCCTTTCCTGAGAAGTAGCTGATGCCTATAGATCTTGCAAGGTGCTTCCGTAGGTTTTTTTGTTTAAACCAAAGACTTGGCCTCTGGTAATGCTCATATTACTTCTTGGTAAGGAAAAAAAAAGTCTAAAATGTGAGCTAGAATTAAAAAGGCTGTCTGTGGCTAAAAAAAAAAGAAAAAGAAGGCTACCAAAATGCAGTGCAGTTTGTCATTGGCCTACCTCTGCATAGAAATGTGTTATTCTACTGAATTGTTTTGATTTTTCATGATTTCTAGAGACAGTTTGCCTTAAGTGAGATTAGTCCAGATTCTTTTAGTGTGAGCCAGAGAACAGCTTCAGGACACAGACTGTCGTTAGCTTGCAAATTGCTTGGTCTTTACAAGGCACAGCTTCTGACTCTGTAAAAGTGGTTTGTAGTGGGAGGGAGAGGTGTGAGTTCTTTTCATTCAAGGAAGAATCCCTGTTCATCTTTTGGACTCAGCACTCTGACAACATGCTTTTTCTTCTGCAAATATTTTTAGCACATCGGATTAAAGGGTAGGAATAGGGCAACATAATGCTTTGAAGTTTAGGTGAATCCCAGGATGAGACAGACATGAGGAAATTACATTAAGCCATCTGAAGGTTTTGGTAACTTTGGTTAGAATTTTAACTGTTAATGTCAGGTCATCAGCGTAGCTTTAGCTCTTTGAAGTAATAAGTTGAAATACATTTCTAAAAGACCGCAGATTATTGCTGTAGGTTTTGGGGCTGTGGGTTGTTGTGGTTTTTTTAACGCTTGTTTCCTTCAGTGGACTAATCCCATTCCCTTCTCTTTTCTTTCTTTTTAGGGATTCAGAGCTTCTGTAAGGACTTGCTAGAAGTTGCAGACATTTTGGAGAAAGCAACAGAAAGTGTTCCAAAAGAAGAAATTAAGGATGAAAATCCTCACTTGAAGAGCTTATATGAAGGTCTTGTTATGACAGAAGTACAGATTCAAAAAGTGTTCAAAAAACATGGCCTGCTCAGACTGAATCCTGTCGGAGCCAAGTTCGATCCCTATGAACACGAAGCATTGTTCCATGCTCCCATGGAAGGGAAGGAGCCTGGCACTATTGCATTAGTATCCAAGATTGGCTATAAGCTGCATGGGCGTACACTGCGGCCTGCCTTGGTGGGTGTTGTGAAAGACGCTTAGCTGCTTAATCTGAGAATTTAAAATGCCATACAACTATTAAACAGCTGGATGGTTTTTCTGTTACACCATGCTTTCCTCATTCCTCTGCCCCCTGAGAGGTTTAAATGAATTGGTTGAGGTCTCCCAGTGAAAACGAAGCAACTGATGAAATTCTCCTGCTTAGTGGCCTTCAACATCACTGTTCTGTAAGCTCTCTTCCTAAGTGTGAAATACAAGAGCCATTAAGCCTTCTAATGCTTTAGATTAGATAACATTTTTTACAACTATTGCTACTGAAGGTGCATTAAATTGAAAGGAACGAAATGCTGACGAGAATTTTGCAATCTCACGTTTATCACTCTGTGTAGATTGAAAATCCAAATAGTGGTTCAAACACTTCCTTTTGTTTTTGTAGAATCTAACATTGCAGAAGTGGGTGAAGTAGTACAAATAACCCGTTTTCTGCAAGCGTCCATCAGCCTTTACACACTAATGTGATAAATACCCTTTTTTGTCTATTCCGAAATAATCTCTCTCAACAACTGAAATTGAAACCTCTGTGAATTCTGACCTGTAAATAAAAGGCAATGGAGAGTAGACATCTCTTGTAATTGTTCAACCCTTTTTGTTCTGTAGTAACGTTGACTCGAGAAAACCATCTAATACTTGTATGGCATTGAAGAACCAACAGAATTTATCCTATCTCTGGATTTTTAATTTAATATTGTATAAATTGGTTTAAACAATTTTGATAGTCTTGTAACTTCCAAGCTTTACAATCAGTTTGTTATGCAAACTGCAGTTACAACCCTGCTGAAAGCCAGAATACCCAAAGAAGCGAGTAGCTGAGAGTTTGGTATGTACTGTCTTTTAGAATTACATAAATAATTGCATGTAAGTAAGTGGCTCAAACAAAAATGTGAACTTAGTTTCATCTTCATTTCTTGCATTTACTCAGCTTGGATCTTAAGTTGCAACAGAACTTTTTCCATATGCAGCTCTTGCCGTGTCCAACACCACCTGCTGCTCCTGATCTGCAGAATCAGGCTAAATACAATACATGGTTAACTGAATGCTTTGTCCTACATTTGTCTGGTTACCTGGATAGGAGTGGACAGAACCTGGCAAATTACACAACTGACAAAGCATCTGTCCTCTTGTATCCTCAAAGCCCATATGCATAACACACAGGACAGAAATGTCAAACTTAGCCATGTTGTTAGGACCTGGTGAACAGTAAGCACTTCTGAATTTTTCACCCTTGTTTCTGGTTGTCTTGAATTAAGGTGATTCTTACCTTAAGGTCAAGTAGCAATTGTTTTTTTTGGTTGAGATGCAGAGTTGCCAACAGCTTACTGAACACTAGACCTACTCGTGGTGAGAAGTGATTACCTGTTCTTTAAGACTTTTTTTCCAGTGCTGGTTTGCCTCATGGGAATCAGACAGTTAACTAGGAACAACCTAAGTGCATACTACTGTTCGGGGGTTAGTCATGTTTAAGGATTAATTCATTCTTTCTCAACTCTGAGAAAGAAAATCAACGCTTTGACTAGGCAGGGGAGAGAGAGTAATTTCTGGTGCGTGTGAGAAGACAACTACAGTGTTAATTTTTTTAAACTAGTCAAGTACAGGGATCAAAATGCAATGATTGAGTGTAAAACTACAGGGGAAAAAAAGGGGATTCCATATACTTAAGTTGAATTTGGAAGTAACTTCCTTCTGTCGGGGTTAGAGCATGCTGTAGCTGCATGAAGTAGGATTGAAGAAATGGTTTTGTTGCACTTTGACTGGAACCTGTGCTCAACTGATACGCCATAAAGGGACTAGGGTCCATATATATACCTTTTAAAAACTGTCATGTGTTGTTCTGCCCCCTTCCCAACCCCTCTGGATCTAAACTAAATTTAATAGTAACTTCATTAGTATAGAAGTTTTTTCTAGTAGGGCAATTAAAACAAAGGGACAGCTTCTTCCCTAGCAGATTAAGATTTTGTTAATGAGCTTCCCAGCACCCCACACAAACTGTCTTTTTTGGACTACATCATTAGTTCATTCAGAGTGTTCTTAAACACAAGTTACTGTTAAATGTTCAGCACAAGACTCAAACTAGTATCTTTAAAGCTGATGATAACCGAGTATCTCATTTAAGTGGTTCCTCTTCCTTGGCCTGCCCTTTCAGAGAGGCTTTTGGTGTGGAGAGCTTCAGTCTTTACTGAGAGCTCAAACCACCTGTGCACCCTGCCATACAACAGAAAGAAGCACTGAAGGAATCGAAGAACAGAGGGAGGTGGTTCTGAAACTTAAGCATAAGAGCAGCCAACAAAGCTACCACCAGCACCTCTGGTTTAGCCATTTCATAAATGCCACTTCACTCATCATCATTTAGCTGAAATGCATCTCCATTTGTTCTTGCAAAGACTTAAGCCATTTTCCTTATTACGCAAACTACGTTACCATTAAATCAATAATGGAAAGAAACTTTAATACAAGTTTATTTACCGATATACAATGCAAAAACCTAGTAAAATGCTGAGTGTGTACAACATCAGTTAGGTTTTACATGATTTCAGCACAGGCATTTGTGTGTCTGGCACAGCTACACCAGTACACTATTCAAATGAGTGCAACATTCCCTTTAAGGAAGAAGCTGATGAGGTGAACATGCTCACCAGGTACCTTCCTTCACAGTATTTAATGTGTCATCACTTACTTAAGAGCAACTGGGGCACATGCAAAAATATTTCGCAAGAAGAGATAGTAAACCAAAAGGCTAATGAAGTCCGTTACAGTTGCGAAGAAATTTGATGCAGCCGCCACACAAGAGAATAATGGCAGAGTGCTTAGCCTGTGTGATATACAAGGCAGTTTATGGTCAAAGACGCGTGCAAACCTACTAACGCTGTTCTTAATGCTTGCTGGGACTGCAACGGAACACAGAGCCGGAGGGTCTGTATCCAGAATACTCTGTAACAAGCCCTTCTGCACTGGGTAGTACACACAGAATGGAGATTAATGCTCCCTTGTTACCTAGTGAGCAAATATTACCGTAAAACATCACTGGGACTGGACTGATTGAAGTAAACATACAGCATTAAAACAGACTTATTGCTGCCTCTACCAGTAGCAGATCAGTATTTTGAACAGCTTATGGAGTGTCACTTTTTCATAGGCTTACATCAATGCTGTTAGGACAGATACTATCATTAGTAATATCTTTAATTAGAAAAGTCAAGAGCATTAAGCATATAAAACACCTTTTCATTAGCAACATGAAGGCTAAGTTATTTGTACAGTACAGGAAGCACTTCCAGATCAACACAAGATACAAGTCAAAGAGCTCTTTGCCATGTTTTTTCTCAGCCCCTTCACCACAGAAGAGAAGCAGCGCAGCTCTAGTAAGTAAGTTGCTGGATTAACATACCTGCATCTCAACTTAAAAACAAACAAACAAACAAACAAAAACAGCAGCTCATAACAAAGGAATGCTTAGACTAAATCAGTTCCATGTGAAAATATGGAACAGCAGCATCCTCTAGTGCAAGTCACCTTTAAAATTAAAAGCAGAGCTGACAATGAGACATTGCTTCTAGGGAAGCCCTTTCCAAGGGACTAGTATTTGCTAAAGCAAACATTTACCACCTTGAATTTGCCTGTAAGTATAAAATAAATATTGATATCCATATTTCATACATTAAAAATACTTTATTTTACATTCATTTTGATGTTCAATAAGTTACGTCTAGCACCAAAGAAACATTTTGGAGGGGCTGAGGAATTAAGAAACTACAAGTGTAAATGCAGAATTCACTTCCAACATTTAAATGACTCATTGGTGCCTAGATTTTTTTTTTTTAAGTTACTGGTCAGATGGGCTTTAGACTATTGCTTCAGTTAGACTTAGATGTGCCAAAACAGTGTAGAAATATAAAAATCACAGATTTGAGGGGAAAAAAAAAACCAAACCAACCCCAATTCTTGTAAACTCCCAGCTACATGCAGAGTTGAGGTTCCAGAACACCATCAGTGATGGTATGTTATGGCAGTTAGGTAACAAGTGACAGCAAGAACCAAATGGCATAGCTAGAATACTAGAAAGAAAGGCTGAGCTTCCTTTCCACGGGAGCAAGACAGAAAATAACCAAGGGTTTTTACCTTATGGACTTGTGTGCTGTTTGTACATGCATAAAGGGTGGAAGTGGTTCTTAAAGCTACTCAGCACATTGCAGTTAGTTCCACTGCTGCCAAGGAGAGACAGTTTTGTCTCAAGTATTCCACAACAAGCCACTTACTTACTTACAGGTAAGCCAAACAAAGTATTACATCTGGGAGGACATAGCCCTTACCTTTTTTGAAGGGACATAACATCACGAGCTCAAAAGAAAAAGGCACTAGAGTTTTGGTTTTTCATTCCTTAGAAATGCTGGCTTTATAATTGTACCCCTTTTATTCTAAACTCACTGGTAACACTATTTTGGTAATGCTGGATATATTAACTAAAACCCAGTTCTGATCAGTATACCTCTGCCAAGTTGCAGAAATTAATACTGTTTTAAGATTTTGTGGTATCCTCACTGACTACAGCCCAAAGCATCAAACCAAAATGACATTTCCAGTGCTTGCCCTTGTTCTGAAGGCAGTCCAGTTCCACGTTGTGGCACACCTGCACTCCAGGAGACCTGCCCAACTGGCCTCCGGTCACAGCTTCCTGCTCTGGACACGACCAGCAGAGAGGCTTAGGCACAAGTAACACTGTGCTGTCTTCTATGTGGCAACCACCATTTTTTATTCATTTGGTTAAATACCAGCACGGGTATTTAAGGAGGAAATGAGCATAAAAATCCTTTTCTAGTCCTCTTTCAACATTTTTCCCTTAATTGGTAGATCTTTCTAAAACAGCACTGTGGATCTGGTGTTTCTGTTACACGCTGTGTTACGTTGCCAGCTGGCGCCTCTCGCAAGCACCCAGTTCAGACTGTAGTCATCAGAGTTGTGATGAGTTACCTCTCAAGGTGCGCTGTTCTCACTGCGGTGGGCTGCATTCACAGTTCTCCTACCATGTCAGTAACGTCAACTTCAATGTGCTTAGTCCGGTACATTTCAGGCTATGTGCAATTAGAACCCTGTAATGGCTTGATTTACAGCTCCGTACTTTAGGAGCACATTAGCTGTGCATTTTGACCTAATCTGTATCACTTCTCTTTTTTGTTTTTAAAAACCAATCTCAGTGATCACTCTCCATTTGAGAATTTCGCTCCCTTTCCCTGTCCCTCCCAATCAAACTCAGGAGGCGGCAGCTACACCTCCTCAGCCCCTACAAGCTCAGAAGTTACAGATACCAAAGAAGGAGGAGTAGCCTCCCCCCAACAAGAAGAAACGGTGATTTTGCTGCCTGAGGCTCCCAACCACTGCAAGACAACTTGCTGCCTATTCTCCCAAACCACATTTCTGGCCCAAATCAGCCACTTCACAGTAGCGCTGACCCCTCCTCCGGAACAGAGCACCACAGCTGCCAGGTACTCCTGCAACTTTGCTACTAATTAGTTAACACTGAAGCTTCAGTGGGGTCTGTTTCAGCAAAAACTCAAGTCAAAGCTATGTCCGGATCAGCTGGGTGTGAGGGTAGCTCTTCAAGAACCCCTTCCACAGCACAAGTACCCGAAGGCCCCTCACCTACCACATCCCTTTCCTTCCACTCTCTGCCATGGCTCATCCCTGCTGTATTCTCGACAGAAACACACCCCCGCTCACTGTCCCAGCGCCTTGGCTGTAGTTACTAAGGAGAATGTTCTGAAAGCTTAGCGATGGTCACAAAAACCCCCGCTCACCGTGCTCCAGAGCTCAGGACTTTTGTAAGCTTCACTTTGCCACCAGCATTATGCCAAAAAACAAAGCAAAGGGAGAAGAGAAAGTTTCCAGCAAATGAAACTGTCTCCCACCTTCAAAGAAAAGCAAGAATTACACTGATATTCATTTGTCCAATAGTAAGCAGTAAAGTAACTACTCCGGGACTACTGGACTTGAGTAAGTTCACATGAAAGAAATCTGTTCTAATAATATACCAAAAGCAGTGAAATCCAATGTAGAAGTTTCACAATTAAGTATTTTCCATGATCCAAAGCAAAAGTCTATTTGAACCATGGACCATGAATACCGGGGAGGTTATGTATTCGCTTTTTTTTGTTTGTTTTTAAGTGACATAATTTCTGTATCTTTGAGGAGGGAAGGAAAAAAATAACGGAGTCCTTGAGGCTATAACGGGCCTCTGCTGTGTTTTTTCAGATGAGCTGAGTTTCATGAAGCATCCCTGGATATCCAACCACTTTCTGTTAGAAAGTTTAAAATCCTTTTCTTCAGTACCTTATCTAAGTAACTGGGAAGGCGACTCTTTGAAGGAATTCCCTGTCTTTTTTGGAGATGGTCTTTAATGATTATAGTTTTTACAGTCACATAACGTGCAGGACTCAAATTTAGAGAGCTGCAGAGCACCTTTTCCCTGTCCGATAAGAGTTCAAAGCCAGGCAGGTTTTCAATGGCAGCAAATTCACCTTCTTTACCATCTTCCTTCCCTCTCTTGGAACTAGCTATGTTTTTGTTCTCCTTCCTCTTTTCCCGTTTATGCCTGGCCGCCTCGTATTCCGCCGACTCTTCCATTTTGGTGATTCCATTTCGACGGTACCGCTGCAGCTCCCGAATCTTTGCTCGAAGTATCCTCTCCTTGTGCATGTTCTCAAAGAAGTCTTCAAACTCCTTACACGACATGAACTGGTACAGAGGCCTCAGTTTCAGCCTCAACTCCTTCTCCTCTTTTGTGATCTTTCGTTTGGGAGCTTTCTCCTTGTCCTTTTTATCCTTCCCCAGAAAGGCCGGTACCAAGTTATAGTCTCGTGCAATGTTCTTCCGCCGTTGCCTCTCCTTGAGTTTCCTTACGTACATGTCTACGTGAGCTCTTTTTAACTCTATTTCCACATCATCGTCGTCATAGTTCACCGAAAGGCCACTGATCAAAGTCTCCGCGTCTTGATCGTATTCGATCTCGTAGTCATCCCGAAGCGGCATGTATCCCAGCTGCTGCTGCTCAGCCACCGATATATCCAACGGTGGGAGCGGCGTGGTCAAGCTAGGAGAAAGCGGGCCGCCGCTGGGACACGTGTGATCCGTTACTCTGTTCGGAATAGTGTCGGGGATGCAGGCTTTTCCCAGGTTGCCGTGGATATACATGCTCACATAGTGTTCCATCACCTCCTGAGGCGTTCGGGATGCTCCCACGTGAGCAGCCATGTCCTCCTAAATGGGAAATAAGGAGGAGTGATAAAGTGATTCCCATTACATCTCCAGCATAACGTGCACTCAGGTAAGAGCACGACTTCTTCCCTGCTCCTCAAAAGCCAACTCACAATACCTAAGCTTTTCTAGCAATACTGAAATTAGCCACGTTTCCATCAGATCTGCATTTTTACGTCCAAATAAGTATTTACAAGTGCACAGGGGCACACAGGCCACGAAAACAGCACCAGAAACGTCACTAAGGCAAGCTGCATCAGATCCTCTAGGTACAGGAACACCGTCGAGACACTGGATCCACATGGTGATTCCTGAGCATCCATCGCTCTCTCAGAAAGTCAGCTTACCATCACCAGGAAGCTTTCCAAGTCCCAAGCCAGCACTGGGATCACGACGTCGTTTGGATTTTGCTCATTTATGTTGCACTGCTGAAGTACTTTTAGAGCAATACAGAAATAAAGACAGACGGTATTTACAGTAAGACAGATAGTATTTACTCTTTTCTAGTTATTTAAGAACTAAAACAAGCTCCGATGATCATAAACTTTAAGATTTTGAAAAAGCCTTTACCTCTAATGAAGCAAAGCATAATCAAGTAACAATTAAGGAATCAAATGATGATGCTTTTTACTGCTGGTTTTTTAAAAACCAGCCCGACCGTATACTGACGCCGAAGGCAAGCACGGAAGGCAAAGACCCAACACTAAGAGGGAGAGGGTCTAAGATCCGTGACACAAACAGGCGGGGGGGAAGGCGTATGCTGCAACTTAAGGTAGCGACAGGTCCGATAAGCCTGAAGCGCGCCTTTGACCAGCAGGTCCCCCACAGGTAGCCCACGCAGGGCCGAGAGGCCGCCATCCCGGCACGGAGCCGCCTGCACCTGCCAGCCAGAGAGGCCGCCGCCTCCGCGGCGCGCTGGGCTGTCCGCAGAGCGGGGCTTGACACCGGGGCCTCCCGTCAGGACCGCGCACGTCCCCCGCTGTTGCCAGGCCTGCGGGCTCCCCGCGGCCCGGGCCGGCGGCTCCCCTCAGGCCC